CTCAGTAGTTTATTCTAAAGACTTTTCCTTTTCTATTGAGCATTAATATCTTACTTCCATATATTGTACAATCTGTATTAATGTTTTGGAAACTTTTGCAAGAAAGCATAAGTTGACTATCAAAGGTAATGGCTGAGATTCTTATATTTCTAAGAACCTATATAAAGGTATCTGAAACATAACTAATATTATATAAAAATCATTGGGGGATCTGAAATATAATCAAACCACACACTGGTGTTTTCACTATCATATATAAATAGATATTTGGTACTATTTGAGAAGTTTTAATGAATACCCTAAACAAAATTTTCTTTTTCTTATATAAGTCACATAGCAAAGAATTGTATATATAGATTAACCATTCCATTACTCATTTATTTTCCAACCTCACTCCTTCCTCCTTAAAATTTTTTCAGCACTAGTGGTCTTTTGCTAGTTCTTACTTTAGAGACAGTAATATGCCTGAGGATAACCAGTATAGTTATATTGTTAGCTTTATAGATTTATAATTATATTTTTCACATATATTATATCTACATTAAAAACTATATCCAATAAAGTAAAGGTTGAGCTGGTGGTTTAAAAAAAAAAAAAATAAATTATGATATAAAGTATATTACGAAAGTTTTTGAATAAATTTTCATATTACAAAGTTAATCTATATAGACTTTTTATTTTTAATAAAAATAAAAAAGCTACTTAGATTAACTATGCGATATAAAAATTTTTCAAAGACTTTCCTGATGTACTTTAAATAAAAAAAAAAACAAAAAGATAAATAATTATCTCAAAATATATTTGTTTAAAAACTTAAACACTTAATTAATAATTGTTTCAATGTAATAATTTCATGTTAAATAAAATTAAAAGTATTCGAAAAATAGACTACAAACAAAAGAATATGCGGGTTATGATTGATTAAACGTCAATGTTAAAATTTCAACAACGTCTGGATACAAACCATATCAATTTTTTTTCAAGAGAATATAGTTTCAGAATGAAAGTTCGCCTATCCGATTGATATAATTAGAACTATAACAAACAAATGAGATTGAAGATATATAAGGCTGATTTTGATTTTTAAATTTCCGAGAAAGAATAGTTGCCTTTTGATTACATAGTTAAGACTATGGGTTTTTCATTTAGGGGACTTTTAAATACAACAAAGTAGGATCCATATGATCGCATGATGTCGTGTAAGGAATAAATTCAGTTCTATGAACGGTTTCAGGCGTGTTTTCTATATTTCTTGTTTCCGTATTTTTTAATATTTTATCAGATTCAGATAATTCAGATAGAATTTTTTTGTCATTTTGCCACTCGGTGAAAATTTCGTAAATTCTTTCCGCAGATGGACGATTTTCAGGATCTTTATCCCAACATCTTCTCATGAGATCTATATAACATCGTGGTGTACCCTCGACAATTGTGGGCCGCAAGTAATTGAATACTACTTGAATTTTAAAATCTCCCGTGGACTCTCTATCTAAAGGTACAGTTCTTCCTGAAGAAATTTCCCACATAATTATGCCGAACGAGTAAATATCAGATTCTAGGGTATATGATTTACCACATAAAACTTCCGGTGCCACGTATGGCAAAATTCCGAAGATTCCACCAGATTCCATTTTCAATGCTACGTCAGCTGATATTGAAAGACCCAAATCCGCAATGTATGCACTATACAAATTATCTTGTAACAGTATATTGCCACTATGTAAATCTCTGTGAATAAGATTTCGTGAGTGAATTATCTGGAGATCACATGCAACACAAAGTAACAACTTTAACTTCTCTTTCCATTCCATTCGTGCTATTGAATAAAGATTTTCGCGCAGGGACCCCATAGATGCAATTTGCAAAACAAGAATATAGTCTCCGGAAATTTCGTCCCGGGATATTCCGTAACATCTCAAAAACGTGGGATTTTCAAGGCAAACATCACACCACACCTTTAACTTCGATGTGGAAGAAATAATGGTTAGATACGTGGTTTATCAAAGAGATTAAATGAAAGTATAAAAATCTCACCTCTTTTACAAATTCCTTGCGGTAACCTTTTGATCCATGAAGCAATTTGAGTGCGACACCCTTGGTATTCCAAGTAGCGTAATACACCGTTGCAAATCCACCTTGTCCTATCTTCTCAACGACTTCAAGCTCCTTATAAGGGATCCATAATATTGCGTATTTGTTTTCAGCAAATATTTCCTTTATCTCGTCATCCATATCAAAGTTTTTGTACAATTGCTCACTATTTGCTATGAAACTATGCTTTAGCCTATACTATTTGTATTTAATAAAACCAACAATCAACTAGACATAATAATCACCTAACAATTGATCTCTTTCCCTAATCATTTAATATTATATTATTACGAAATAGCGATGATGATAAATTTATTGAACATAATTAAAGATAAATTGCTTACATTTGATACCAATGCATAGCCATCTCCAGGCTTCTTGCAACCCCGATTCCATTTCGATAAAGCACAGCAAGCAGGTACATACCATGAACATTACCCATCTCGGCTGATTTTTGATAATATTCGAATGCCTTATGTTTGTCCTTTTCAACTCCGTTTCCATTGAAATAGCAATTACCAACATTAAATATACCGCTTGCATTGCCCATCTCGGCTGACTTTCGATAATATTCGAATGCCTTGCGTTCATCCTTTTCAACCCCAACTCCTTTCTCATAACAACAGCCAACATTAAATGTTCCATTCGTATTGCCCATCTCGTCTGATTTTTGATAATGTTCGAATGCCTTATGCCCATCATTCTCGACTCCAATTCCTCTCTCGTAACAACAGCCAACATTATATACACCCTCGGGAACTCCCATATCAGCTGATTTTTGATAATATTCGAATGCCTTATATTCATCCTTTTCGACCCCATTACCGTAAAGATGACAATTACCAACATAATACGTTCCACTTGCATCACCCATCTCGGCTGATTTTTGATAGTATGAGAATGCCTTATTTTCATCCTTTTCAATTCCAATTCCTTCGCCGTAACAACGACCAACATCAAATATTCCCTTCGCATAACCCATCTCAGCTGATTTTTGATAATATTCGAATGCCTTGTGTTCATCCTTTTTAACACCAATTCCTTTCTCATAATAATAACCAACGTTATGTGCGCCCTCGGGAATTCCCATATCCACTGATTTTCGATAATGCTCGAATGCCTTATGTTCATCCTTTTTAACCCCAATACCTTTCTCATAACACCGGCCAACATTATACGCCCCAACTGCGCAATCAATCTCAATTGATTTCTGATAATATTCGAACGCTTTGTGCTCATCCTTCTTAACTCCAATTCCGTTTTCGTAGCAATAGCCAACTTGGCACACTCCTCCAGCATCACCCATCTTGGCGGATTTTTGATAATATTCGAATGCCTTGTGGTCATCCTTTTTAACGCCGATTCCATTTTTATAGCAATAAGCAACTTGGCACACCCCGCCAGCATCACCCGCCTCGGCCGATTCTTGATAATACAAGAATGCTTTATGTTCATCTTTTTCGATTCCGATTCCTTTCTCATAACACCATCCAACGTTATACATCCCACCTACGTCACCTATCTCGACCGATTTTTGGTAATATTCGAATGCCTTATGTTCATCCTTTTTAACTCCAATTCCATTGGAATAACAATGACCAACATTAGACATTCCTTTCGCGTGACCTAACTCGGCTGATTTTAGATAATATTCGAATGCCTTATGTTCATCTTTTGCAACTCCGTCACCGTAGAAATAGCAAATGCCAGCATTAAATGCACCACTCGCGTAACCCATCTCGGCTGATTTTTGATAATATTCGAATGCTTTATGTTTATCCTTTTCAACTCCAATTCCTTTCTCATAACAATGGCCCACATTATACGTCCCACTTGCATCACCCAGCTCGTCTGATTTTAGGTAATATTCGAATGCCTTATGTTCATTCTTTTCAACTCCAATTCCTTGGTGATAGCAAACGCCGACACTATACACACCATTCGCGTAACCCATCTCGGCTGATCTTCGATAGCATTCGAATGCCTTATGTTCATCCTTTTTGACTCCAATTCCAAGATAATAACAGTTACCCACATAGTACGTCCCACTTGCATTACCCATCTCTGCTGATTTTTGGTAATATTCGAATGCCCTGTGTTCGTCTTTTTCGACTCCAACTCCATTTTGATAACGATACCCAAGAATCTCCGCCTCCTCATTCATTTTTTTAAATTAAATTCCTGATGTTCGTCTTAAGAAATACAATGGATAAAGTATCACGCTGATCATTTCAAATAAAATATTATTCTATTTTTAGCAAATAGAAAAAAAATTAATCGGATTAACCGAATAATACAAATAAACAATCGGTCGATATTCGATATTTAGATGAACAATGACATCATAGCTATTTTAATGATATAATGCGAAACAATTGAGCCACACACATTATCAGAGGGCTAAATGTAGTAATGTGTAGTGGGGCCAAGGGCTAGTATCAAAAAAAGGTATTCCGAAAGAATGGCTGAGTATGTACTTGTGTACATAATTCTCGACCTTATAAGAAGCCGAAATTTCAGAAAAAATCGGTTAAAGGATGCGCGCTTCGAAGATTGAACTCGTGAAAGCCTATGGTTTAGAGTATGTTTTTTTAATCAGTTCGAATGTTACTTGTGGTCGCGAATTTCTAAAAAAAAAAAAAAAATTTTTTCACCTTGAAAAAAGTTGGTTCCTATGCATCGTATTTATAGCTGGCTTCGCGGCCATAGACAGTTTAGAACCTTTTCACAGAAGATTCTCCTTGCAAGACAAATTCATTCAATATCCATATGCCGTCAAAGAGACGGTGCCTATGTGGTTGGCAGGCGTAAGTCAATTATTTTAGAAATAATTCGAGATGAGATAATAATCAGGCTAGCTAACTTTAACAAGCCAATAGTTGATTGTAGTGATTTTTCCTTTTCTCGCAATGACCGGAATATCGCTCATTATTAAAAAAAGTTTGCACGATTGGCATCACGCGACACTTGGACTAATCCTAAGTTTGTCTTTAACCTTAATGGTGACCGAAGTTTTCAAGGTGAGTTTACAGAGCTTCTCGTTAAATTAGAATGTCATTGAAACTATAAATGGATTTGATTTCAGAATACAGTGGGTCGCCCCCGACCGGATTTCATCGATCGGTGCCAACCAGTCAATGGTTCTACTGATGCATCGGTTTACGGACTTAGCACCTCAAGTATCTGTACTCAAACAGATCATGCTCTAATCAAAGATGGATTCAAGAGTTTCATTTCGGGTCACTCTTCGAGTAAGCATCCCCGAGTTCTCATTTGTATAAAGATGCATTCAAAAAAAGTTTAAAAAATTTTAATTTATATAGTTTCCTTCTCCGGGATGGGGTATCTTTCTTTGTATCTCGCCGGTAAGCTGCACATGTGGGACCGAAAAGGTCACGTTTACAAAGGATTCGTAGTCGTCGCACCTTTGGTTGTGGCCACTCTGATTGCCATCTCCCGAACCACCGATTACCGTCACCATTGGCAAGATGTTGTCGTTGGTAGTTTACTTGGTAAAGTTACATATACAATAATTTTATAATAATTTTATAATTTGTCATTCAATTATATCTCACAATGACTTGATGATTCGTACTCAGGTTTCATACTTTCCCTGTTCGCCTATCACCAGTACTATCCTGCTTTGTATTCACACATTTCAGACAAACCCTACTCGACCAGGCTTAAAGAAAGTTTACCGGATTATCGTGCAGACTTTTCATTTCACGATGGTTCAACATTTGAAGTGTCTGTGGTTCGTCGTGATGGAGCGGTTTTACATCAAGACAGTAAAAACTTCGTACAATCCGATGGAAATGTTGTATGATATGATGAAGGGATAGAAATGAATTTTTATAATTAAAAAGTCGGCGTGGGAAAATGATACTAGGCAAATTTTTCATAGTTCGTTCGTATTTATTTTAGATATACGATAAATTAACAAAATTATTAAATAATATTTTGAACTACTAGATGTGCTATAATGATGCAATAATGGGGGTTGATGTAAATGTTATTAAAATATAATGGGATGAACAAAATTATATACAACTTAGAATCATTGTCCGAAAAGTGAGATTGATAAAAAAATGTAAAATTGTCTTTAATATGGCGTACTGTATTTCTTATTCTATGTCAACCGTGAGAATTTGAAGGCAAAGTTAAGAGGTTTTCATTTTCCCCACAGAGAATCGAATATTGAACTTCTTCCGACAGAGGTCCTGGCTGTCTTTTTAAAGAAGCTTCCCATGCTCCCCACACTGTCAACAACACCACCAACCACATCAGACATCGACCCGACAGAGGACACGGGACGGGATGAAGTAAGTTGCTGTTCATTGATCAAAGCTTCATATGAGCTCGAAGTTCGCGGCGTTTGCGCAAGAGCCGAATAATGAGGCTCATCGAAATTGGCACGTGCTTGACGAAGTTCTTCAAGAACCTACATGGATGATACGAATGGATGCATCAATTATACACGCCCTTAAGTAGTATATATCATACAATTACCCAAAATAAAAACCTTTTCATGGAATTCGATCTGCCCATCCAGGTATTGCTTGGTGCCTTCCTGAAAATCCCGAACACGTTCTTCATGAATCCTGTTTACTTCCGCTAGCGTGACATTGAATACAGTATCACAACGTGATCTGATCGCTTCAACATACGAATCCTTATTGATCATTTAATCGACAAGTGTCAAACAGGAATGAATAATAAGTTCTTGAAAGTTAATAGCCGTTTGAAAATTATTATTTCACCTCTGATTGCTCTTGACTCAGATTCTCATCGGATACCTCCTTATATTTTTTATAGGTCCCGTAGTGCATGTCGATCAGAGGCTAAAGATTTAACATGAGAAATGAGATAACGCTTAAAAATATCTCCAGTGGTGGTAATTAACAATGTACCTCATAGTTTGTGGCCGGTTGGTTGTACTCTTTATAATCCTCGATCCAAGGAATAACAGTCTCCTTTGTCTGAAGCGTCGATAGACATTTGTGCCGTCATTAATGTGAATTAAGAATATCATTATTAACACGTACACCATATACATACATAGGAGTCGTACATGTCTGCTATCGCTTGCATACTTTCAACGGTAGATTGAAGCGCCTTAGTAAGACTGAGACAAGCTGTTGCGTTAGACAAGATGATGTCATTAAAATTATGTATAGCAAGTAGCTCACGTGGATTCATTCCTTAGCAAATGATCTTACCGTTGCATCCGTCCCTCCAACACCAAGCTCCTTCTTCATTTACGCATTCATAGTTTTCGCTGGCATTTTTTCCAGTAATCAATCTCAACAGCGCAAAACTTACTTGACGATATTTATGCTGCACTTCTATAATAATTATTTTCGGTTGATAAGTGTATGAAGGGACGATAATACGGAAGAAAACATTTAATAGTACACTTGCCTTCCAAAGAATATTTATACGCCTGAGATGCGTCATTCATCCACGGCATTAATTTTTCCATGGCTCGGGCATGCGCCGAAAATCGTTCCATGGTTTCAGCATCTCTGCACATATTCAAGTTAAAGTAATAATAAGTAAGGTGAGTCTATTAAAGAAAGATATAATAATAATAATGCCGACAAAACAATATATTAGAGTTCTTGCCCGTCATCCACGTTAAATTCCGGATGATAAACATGCGAAAAAAATGCGCGACCAACAAGTTTATCTGATTCAAATTCTTTCTCCCTCCGATTCCATTCCTGAACTTTCAATTTTAGTATACTTGTTGCAGAAGAATAACGTATGAGAACAATGCAATCATACCTACCGATTCATCATTGCAATTCAAGAAATGGGTTAAGAGGTCGGAATATCTAATTATTGGATGACGTGCCAAACGGTTGATGAACCTTTCCAGTGCTCGACGACGTTTTTCAATGAATTCCTCGTTGAATCGACCTATAGAAATTCTGATTCAAGATTAATTGCGAAACATATTCTTTCATATAGAGTTTTCATCCAATCATTCGAAACTCTTCAAGTTTACCAGAATATTGTTTTTCAGGAAGTTTTGGCAATACAAAACATCCAAATTTAGAGACCAACAGATTGTAAAGCCATTCGAACTGGCTATATCTTCTTTCAACCGTTACCTGAACACCTGAAAACTACGGAGAAAAATCAGAAGAAGGTAAATCCAAATAGATAAATAAATAAAATAGCAAGATTATGGCTGACTATCGACTAATCACCATAGATGTCACATAAAAGACGGTGTATTCTTGAACTCCTCCGAGTTTAACTCTCTTTTCTGGATCATGCACCATAATTTTAAAATTCGGTGCCTTTTCTTGCCAAGTTGGGCCACCCTGTGAATCAAATAAAAAAAATTAGACATCTAAATTAACAGAAATTTCAATGTCGTGGAAATCGAACCTGAATATAATGCTTATCGGATTCGGTTATTTCTTCGTTGTCTTCGGACTCCGTCAAAACGTCTGCTTCTGGTTGTCCACCATTGAGGATAAACTCTTCTACTCCAGTAGTCACAAACCAACTAAATCGATTCAGTTGCCTTTTCCCCACTATCTTACTACTACTATGCGTTGACCCGTTTATGGACCCATACATGGAACCATACACCGAACCATTCTTCATTGGTGATTTTTCAGCAGAATTTATCGAATCTCTATCAGATGAGCTTGATAGTGTGCCTGATAATGTGGAATTTGGAAGTTCTGTAAATTCCGTGGTGTACTAGATTACGATTCGAAAAGAATTAATCACGCGTGCTACTTTAAAGATAACACGTCACTCTTGCAGCGGAATTACCGTTAAATATGCCTCGGGAACGAGTCCCTTTATTCCATCCTTTTCGGCCAGAGACCATCCTTCCGAAAGCTGTTCTTTCAACACATAGAATACGTCCCCGGCACGAAACGATAGTTCCTGAAAAGACGGTTCGCCTTCAAAATCATATAAAGCTCTGGCTTGTCGACATTCCAGAGGGGATGAAAATATTTCAGAGGCTCTGGGCGTTCTATCGTCAGAAGGATGCTCCAGTGAAGTTGATGGAGGAGACTCGCACAATGAAATTTTTTCAATCGGGGTTGTTGTTGCGGAATTCGTTACCGAGGAAGTCGAATGCCGCCCTTGCGAATTTACAGAAAGCCTTGCGGGCTTTGGAGGGACGACTGGACGAGGTTTAGACGACATTTCGTATAGTGAATCAAGCGCAAAGTTATTTGAAAAGGGATTTTTTTGCACTATTATCTCATGATCAGGGTTCCCTTTATACCCTTGGTTTGTTGCCGAATTTGGAAAGTCTCGAAATTGAGGAGCTCGGGTACGCACTTATAATCAACCGTTACACATTACGTATTTAAGATAATTTTCGGTATATAGAGTATGCATACTTCAAAAATATTAAAAGCTATATTTCATAGAAAATATAATTATTTTATTCCATAATTATATTAAGACTTTCCGCTAATCTTCTGATCACACACAAAAAAGATGTTTGCAAGAAGTTTTATACTTCCTTGCTAATAAAGTTTTTATACTTTCATTAAAACAACTTGAAGAAACTTCAAGAGTCATTAATAACTTCCCACTTTTCTTGCTTACTATCCTCTTCAAACAAAAACTTGATCTCTAGTAATCATAAAGGTCAAGAAACACCTTTCCTACTAATGGCAAGAAAGTTCTGAAAGGAAGAAGAACTAATGTGTTATTCATTATCTCATATCATAGAAAAATATCATAGAAGTGTGTACTTGATAAGAGATAATTTTTCTACTCTCACATCACCTTTATCTTCTTTATAATGCTCATTCTTGATTTTTTCTGGAGAATTTTGCCTACCTCAGTTTGACCTTGAATTTTAAGTAGCACAAAGTTTCTTATACCATGATTAGACAGACAGAGCTTATATTAGTAAAGGAAGTAAATAAGCTCCTATTAATTACTTCATGTATTCAAATGTATTTCTTTAGTTCCATAAGAATCTGGAGTTTATTATAAGTCATTATACTTGATGTGAGTGAATAATGAATACTATCAACTCCTACATTTTTAACTAAGCAAAAAAAAAAAGAACATATCCTCCCTTTTCCTCTATCAAAAAAGAAGAAGGAAGACTAGGCTCAAAGAAATATAGAATGAGAATAATACCTTAAAAATGTTACACCTATTTTTTATTAGCAAGAATATTGAAAGATTAGGGAGATCTTAGGATCATTAGTACCTAATCAACAATATCAACATGCAATCGAATAATCTCAAGTGGTTGAAGAAGATATCACAATAAGATATTAAACAATGGTTAAATTTCTATAGATGATAGTACTTTAAAAAAAACAGTATAATACTTATCAGACTAACAAAAGTGCACACTAAAAGAAACAAGATTCTTTTTTCTAGGCTGGAGATTTTATGGTTTTCAATACCCTTTTACTTATATTCTAAGTCCTTCGAATCCCTAACTTATCATCACCCAGAAGAATATTAGTATAAAATCCTATACTAGATAGAGTATAGAAGAAAAAGGTAAAGAACTGGTAAACAAGGACTACAACATAAAGGTATTAAAAGCAGTGAAGAAACAAACATTACATTCTAAATTAATAAAGCCCTTAAAGAGTAACCAGCCTATGGTATCAATATAATAGTAGTTGTGTGTTTCCAAGTCACTCATAATCAAATCATTTCTCTTCTTTCTTTCAGTATATTTTTTTGTAATACAAAATCTTTACTCTTGTTTAAATTTGTACAGTTTTAACTTTATTATTCTTCTTTAAATAGGAATAGTAAAGTAGGATATCAAATAGAATAATAAAACAAATTAGATGGTCTGTAATAGATATAAATTCATTATACACACCAATCCCCCTAAGAAATTTTATCATTCTAATGGTCCTTTAATTAGATCTCTATTTGAAGAGAGCTCGGCCATGAAGTGGTTTTTAACCTATTATTAGTTTATTAGCCTTTCATTGTTTTCTTCTAGTCAAATATATCTATATAGTAAAACTTTACTAATAAACTTGGCTAAGTCAGCATTAAAAAAAAAAAAAAAAAAATTATAATTTAATAAATAATTATTAAATTAAGACTTGTAAATCAATAATATAATAAAAATACTTTCAGATTACAATTATAAAATCTATAGTTTAATATCATTTATTAATCAAAAAATTAAAATTATTTTTTGATCAAATTTGTTAATTATCTTAAAAAAGGCATACTCAATTATTTGAAAGAAGATTAAATCAAATTAAATTATATAAAAATAAAACTTCTGTCTTTTCATCAATTAAAAACTAAGATCTATAGCCATACTATTAAAAGAATTGTATAAAGAAAGGCTTTTAATTTTATTTATCATAAATATCTCAGGATTTCTTATTTTGGCAAACTTCAGAACTTCATTTTCTTAGCTAAAAATATATTAATTTGATACTTCACTTAAATAAAAATTGATTATAAAATTAATCAGATATTATATATAAAGATAGATCCCTAAAGAAAGAAGTAGAGATAAAGTCAAATATTTCTCACTAGAACATATTAAAACTTTTAAATTATACTAGTTAAGATTATGTCATTCAGCTATTAAATTATTGCTGAATTTGGTAAAAATAATCCTGTAACAAAAAATTTGACAAAAAAATTAATCCTGCAGCAAAAAATTTGTCAAAAAAACAATACTATAACAAAAAATTTGTCAAAAAATTATTGTGTCAAAAAATTTGTCAAAAAAATTATTGTGAAAAAAAATTTAGCAAAAAATTGATACTGTGATAAAAAATCCAACAAAAAAATTACTGTGATAAAAAATTCAAATTTTATGAAATTTATTAAAAAATTACAAAATCAATTAACTAAATTATTTGTCATTTTCCTCTTCCTCCTCTTTCTCCTCTTTCTCTTCCTCCTTTTTTACTTGCTTTTCTTTTCCCTTTAAAAATCTTGATTTGATTTTTTTAAAACTAATCTCAATTGATTTTATTTTACTAAATGGTTTCTAAGATTTTTTGCTTTTTTTTCTAATCTAACTGTTCTCAAATTTCATCCATTTGTACACTTTTCCCAGTTTATTTTTTATTCTTTAAATACATTAATGATTCCTCATATTTGGTAATTTTTCATTTTTTGGATTTAATAATCAATTTTTTTCCTTTTTTTGTCTCTTTTTCTTGTTCACATTTCAAATTTTTTTCAAACTATATATCCAATTTAGCAAGCCTTCTGGTTATATCATATCATAGAAATATAAATCATAATAATATCATTTATGAGTCAACTGAAATGCTTGAATTGATTTTGAATATTCATCCAAATATTTCAATAAATTCTTTAACTATAAGTAATTATGATTAATATTGTAATTATTTGACATAAAATATTTTACTGAAAAATATCTCTTTAAAACATCAATTGTAATCATATATATTTATTCTTCTTTTAGTGGGATTTTTCAGATCAATCTCACTTTCTTCAGGTGAATGCACCTTTGTTTCTTTAATTACATTAGTTAATTTATTCCAATATTTAGCAACTTTCTTTGATTTTCATTCAATAAGCAACTATGTACTTTTAATTCTTTGTGCCTTTTTCTTAATTATTCATTAAAATTAATACTTGAAAGTAGTATAAATATAGAATATTATTAATTTTACTTTGTTTAACCAGCTATTTGTATGTAAATAATCATCCACTCTTTTGTCATATACTTGCTTTAAGAATACTATTTCTTGGGAAATTTTGCCTACCTCAGTTTGATTCTGAATTTTGTATAGTACAAAGTTTCTCAAGCAGTGATTGGTTAGTAGAAAACACATCAATAAAAGAATATAAACAAGTTTTCATTGATTATCTCATATGTTTGAATACATTTTTTCAACTTAATAAGAATCTGGGAGACACCTTAAAATACTAGGCTATTGTGCAGGTAGATATAGGACATAGTCTCTTTTATATCAGTGTCTTTAATTAAGAAAAAACCTCAACAATATACTATATAAATCTATAAAATAAAACTATATCTATAACAAGACTCAAGGATATATAGAAAGAGGATAACACTTAAGAAATATCATATCTATCCTTTAAAAGTATTAGATTAATAAACTAAAAATTTAATTATTTATATCAATCAAAAGGTAGGATCAATATATAATCTGAAGAAAAAAGAATAATGGTTTAATCTCTTAAGATAATAATACTTTAAAGAAAATAGTATAATATTTATCAAATCCAATAAAGTACAAGCCGAACATATCAAAACTTTCTTTTTTAAAATAGAACTGTTACAATAGTAAAAAAGATAGATTATTAAATGATGGGTTTCTCTTTCCAATGTTTATTCAGTCTAAGGAAAGATATCTTGATAATATTATCAAATTACTTCTACCCTATATCACAAAATTCTCTTTGCAACCCTAACTTATTATTATCTGAAAAAATATTAACAGAGATTCTATACTAGATAAGATAAAGTGAAAATCAAAAGAAAGAATTAGAGCTAGGAGACAAGAAACTATAACATAGCTATACTGAAAGCAACTAAAGAAGAAATATTATAACCTGAACTAATGAAACTCTCAAAGAGTAATCAGCATATGGTATAAAATTTATAGTAGTAGCATGGCTTTTAAATTACTCTATATCAAAATTAACTCCTCTTTTCTGCCAGTATCTTCTTTGTTATATAAGAGTCTTTTTTTCTATTTAATCTTATATAGTTTTTGTTTGTAATTATAATTTAGTTTGAATAATAGAATTATAGTAGTTAGATAGATATCATAATCAATCAGATTTAAATCTGAGAAATATATTGATATTAACACAAATATCATAGATTCTTTCTTAATTTTCTTGTACTAGTAAACCCCTTTACTAGTTTTTTTATTTCAAAAAAAGTGGCAAAGTCACGAGGTAGATTTTTCTTTATCAATATTCTATTTGGAAAATAGAAGTAGTTTATCTATATAATATATGTAATATTTACTATATTCAAATAAAACAAGGTTATACTAGTATTTAAAAAAAAAATTTAACACTTGAATAGGTTCTACTATACTTTCTTCAAATATAATATAATGCATAATAATATAATATTGTATGCAACCCTCAAATTGCATTAAAACAATATGAATAATTTTATTTACATATCTCTTTAATTTAATATTTTTTTCTGATATCTAAAATATTTG